GACAAGGAGGTCGTGTGGGACAGTGCCAAATATCTTTCAAAGTTATCCTAAAATCCACATAGCATGAGACAGGCTATGCATCTTTTGCTTGACCTCTCCTCCCTCTTCACAGCCAGGAGAACAGGGCTGTCCAGAGTGCAGGACATGACACCTAGGGTTAAAATACTGCTGCAATATTTTAACCCTAATTGTTAAAGGGGCAGCAGTTTTGAAATAAATGACCTTTGGGAAGAAATTAAACACACCCATGATATGATCCAGCTTAAAAAATTCCACATAGCGTTCCACAGCTGAACTAATGTAAATAACCAAATGTACCAAAATGTTGGCTTTTATCACAAAGGAGAGTAAGGGGTTCTGCATTGTTCCTTACGTACAAACTTTATGCACAAAGCAACACCAAAGTGCAGTGGTAGGTGGCAGTATGCAGCCAGCCAAACAAGCAGACAGGCGCAAATGAGAGATAAAGAGAGAACGGTATGAGAAACTGTCTCAGAACAAAAAGGGAAGCGAAGCAGGTTTGTCGGCTGGAAGGAATTCGACAAATTTGTCACTAGCTCCCTGATGATTTGGTAAATGGCTACGGGTTTAAACCGTCCACAGATACCCTGAGTCTGCTACCTAAACTCTAGAAACATACAGCAGAATGCCAGGTTCACTCTAACACTGCCCTGCAGAAGCTGATCATCTTCTCCTCTGCAATAGCAAGAGACTGAGGACACATTTTTGATCACTGACGTCTGTGCAATTAACTTTCTATTTTCTGTCTGTGAATTAGGTAAATTCAGAAGCAGTTAGAGGCCATGACAGGGATATAAGATGTGTCCTGGTCCTTACAGATAGGATGCAGCTGGATGGTAGCTTGCTCACTAAAAACATCTTGTTCTAGTCTTGTGGGTTTAGCTTTCTAAAATAGTACTCTGAAGTTACAACCATTCAATTAGCTGGGCAGAAATGTGAACAGAAATACATACTACCTCTCAGACTCATCCTAAACAATAAATAAGTTTTATTCAGTTACTACCCCTACCTCTTGCAAAACTTAACTGTGGACTGCTGCTGCTGAGGCTCATGACAGAGGGATGATGTTTGTTCTAAACTAGAGAAGGAATACAAATACTTTTAGCTTTTTGACTTCAAACCACTTTCTGTTTTCCCAATCCAAACTCAGCTTTCACCAAAAATCAGCAAACGGTGATAAAGCAGAACAGTCTACTTCAACTCCTCAGCACAGAATATGTTAGTTATTCCTTAACCACAACAGACTTTTTAAACAGTCAGCTATCACACCACTGAAAACCATGTCATGACAGCAAACTTTCCTGAAATTCAGGAGTTACTCAATGGAGGGAACTGGACAAACTTAGTGCCTAAACGTAATTTCCATACTGCCATATCCCAATACCTAGATAGAATCTATGGCAGTGTTTTGGTGGGATTTTGTTGTTTTTTAAGTGGACCCTTCCCTGTGGTCCTCAGGTTTCTCAGGTCACTCAGATTCTTGCCCCAAACCTAAAACTACTCAAGACGAATTGACCGTACTGTCATCTAAACTGACTGTTATACCATACTTTACTGATATAAAACTGATCTCATGCATCCAGTACTCAGCTCCCAGTACAAAATCCTGCTGGGCCATTCATTTAATTTCTCAGAAACGACTAGAGGGAGTAACAAACACAGTAAGAGGCACATACCTTGAGAAATAAAAGATTTTGTTCTAATGAAAGAACGACCCTTTTTCACAGCTGCTTTTGTCTTCTCAAGCCCATCTTTGGTACCTTCTCTAGCAGCTCTCATAAGCTTTTGCATCTGTTAAGATAAAAATACAATCTACAAGTTCAGTGAATAATAGGAATGCGTTTTAGCATGCACACCATGCAAAATACTTTTGATCGAAATATCTTTTAAAAGAACACTATCAAGTATTTTAGGATATAAATATAGCCCAAATTCAAAGGAATATATAGTAAGTACACAGATCCAGCAAAGGTCAGATCTGAGCAGCTGTACTGTCTCTTAACAAAATCAAACCTGGAGAAAGGCACTTACTTCATGGCAATGTAGCAATGTATGCAAGCCTATGATAGCAGAAATGCTTAAAAATCTGCATCAAAAATCTGAACTCAAAATAGTCTCAAATGCTCAGCTTTACATTATATAATAAACAAATGAACTATGAACAGGTCATTAATGGCCAGGGTTCTTGCCCATCTTCCAGTGTCCTACTAACTCTGCCAAAATATTTCTGATCTAAAGATAAACCCCTAGACTCAGTTCTATATTAACTATATTCTTAAACATTGTTTTGAAGAAAATGTTACAACTAATATTTTCATTAATTAAAGAAATAAGTTGATTCTAAGCAAGAACTACATAATTTTATAGTACACTACTACAGCAAAAAGAGAATTCCTGTTGCTTTGCTAAGAAATGTTTATTAAAAGAACTGCTTAGTACTTTTGCTTTCCCCAAAATGCCACCACGCCAAAAAATCTCCACTACTGTCAGAGCTGTGCTGACATCACATCGGAACACACACAAAGTTGTCATGATGCAATCAATGCAGCCTTTTCATACTGGCTCCATTCAGAATGGAGAGCAGGGAGATTATGACTCCCGCAATTTGATCCTGCATGGCTCGAGAGCCAGTGCCAGGCTAACCCTTGGACCTCACCCAGAGCTGTATGCCTAGCTCATGCTCTGGGATAAATGCACTGGTCGGCAGGGAAGGACAATGATGCCCCATCACATCTTCTGAAATGGTTACCATTAAAAATAAGCATGAGAAAAGGTCCTTGACAAAGTACTTTGAAGACAAACTGCATAATGATAATCCAGCACATTTAGAATCAGTTTCATACAAATTACTGTCTGCTTTTCAAGTTATTATTAAAAGAGACAACATTGTCTGTGTTGGAAAAGCAATCAGTTAAATGTAGCTAGTTACAAAAATCAACTACGCTACCTTCAGCTCATGTTTTTGCTTTAGTTGCTGAATCTCTACTGCTCCCACAGTGTTTGCCATCAAATCTTTCATCTTTTTCTCATAATGCTCCTTTAAACGCGTTAGGTCATGTGAAAGCTACAGTGTATAAAAAGACACAATCTTTTCAAAAAGCCTGTAGTGCAAACTTCATGCCAGAGCACTCACATATATCATGCACATTGCCCCATCTGCCTACTGATACACAGACAACTGAGGGAAAATTATCACGTAGGGAAGCTCCAACCTGACAAATGGACCATCACTCCTGTGCATCACTGAACTTTCTGAAAGACAGGCAGGTGCTTTCTGCTATGCTGGCAACTATGTAAAGAGAGGGCCAAAGTCACTTAGGCTAAGCTAAGTGCATTAACTATATTGTGCACATCTCTTATAAATTGTATGGAAACAATGCATCAGCTTTAACCATGAGCATCATTTGTTGAAGCACATACTCTAATGAGTGTATTTCTGATTATCCTTTTAAACAGTGAATTGGAAGAATTCTCCAAAGTTCAAGAACCTGAGGAGGTTGCTGGTACCTGAAAAGATGGATATAGACAGTGACAGCAAGTGGGGTAAGGAGATGAAAACAAGGGAGGATGCACAGTTGTTCCACGTGCATCTAACATAGCCTCATTGTATGACCATGGGTGTAACCATATCGTATCTGAGTATATCCATTTGCAAAATAAGGAAACTATCACAGAGAAATGCTCTGGAATACTAATTAATATTTGTAAAACATTTTGAGAAAGCCAGATATAAGAGGTTAAAATGTAACCAGAAAAACAAGAAAATATTTGGTGCACCCTGTAACAGAAGTCCAACGGAAACCCCCCCAACTTGATGTCAACAGAATCATTTGGCAAGAGATGAAAGCATCAGGAAAGAGAAGGCCTACTGAGCTGAAAACAAAGGGACAGGTAACAGCATTTAGCTCCACTAGGCTGGGTCAGGATACGATTACTTCCAGCATCAGGATTCTGGCATTACAGCAGTCTAATTAAGAACAGCATCTGGTTCGCAGATTAGAAATATTGAATAGCACAAAAGCCTTCCCACCCTTAAATAAATAAATAATAATCGAGTAATAACAAAAAAAAGTGACTTTAAGGGAAGTCATACCAGTACTTAAAATTAAAAATCCCACCTCCAACCTTCCCATACTTTTCAATGCACACATAATAAGCAAGGCGAGTCTCTCAGTACCCGAAAGGCTATAGAAGGAGATGCGCTGGGGAAATACTGTAACATCCATCACAAGAGCTGAGAAGTGAGAGTTACTGCAAGGAATGGATACAGAGAAAAGGCATGAAGTGGAGTGGTTTCTGTCTGTGTTGAAGTGCTAGTGCAGGGAGGGTTGAGGGTTGTTGTTTGGTTTTTTTTGTTTTGTTTTTTTTTTTTTTTTTTTTTTTTATTTCTGCAGTCCAAAAGCTTACATCTCTCCTCATTCTCCACCAAACCCCTTATCTAGTTTCCTGACTTCCCCACTTCCAGTAACCCATCAAGCTGCAGCAGCCCCTCTGACTTCTCCATCCACCAAGTGATGTGTTCCTAGGCTACTCGTCCCCATCCTCACAAGGCAATTCTCAAAACCTGTTGTCACAGCCCTGGAAAAGCCAGCTGCAGGCAGTACCCCGCAGCACACCTCTCTCCTCCACCACTCCTCAATCTTTTGCTCAGACACTGTGCCTGATCCTAGCACCATCACTCTCAACCCACTGCCAACAGTTTTCTGTGACAGATGAAGTATATTTACAAGTGTTAAAAAACTGCTTTTAACCTTGCTTTGACCACATGCGTAAACAGAATCCTATGACTATGGCCAAAGCTGAAAGTACAGATAACAGGAAAAGATTTAAAAAAGCACACCAAAACGAAACTAGAGGATGATCACTCATCTTACAAAGTGCTGATTCGTGTGAGCTCAAGCCTTGCAGTTAATTGCCCACTCCTCGTTTTGCAAATGGTGGGCAACAAGGATGGAGATGGGGGGAGAGCAGATAATGTGTACTGGAAAGAAACACAGACAATGAGGCTTTTTCTCATGAAGATAAGAAATAGCAAAATGAAAATAAGGGTACCACAGAAGAACACCCTGGCTTCTACCCCTACCATCCTCCAGCCACAGGGTGCTGGAGCAGCTATAACAGTACGCAGCTATGAAGTGGTTTTAGGGTGTCTCTCCCTAGCCAGCACATACTGGAGGACCTCGAGGATTTTGCAGTTACTCTGAGCACTGAGCCTGTTCCCACTTGTTCCCTTCACTCCTGTCCTCCAAGCGCTCAGAGGAGGGGACCAGCAGCCAGAGGCTGCCCCGGTCCCAGGCGAGACTTCCCCTCATGGAAAGGGCACAAAGGCAGAAGGAGAGGAGCTGAAGCAGTGAGAGCATGTGACCCTGGTGCTCCTCCCGATGCGTAATCAGATATATGCAGCGAGGGCAGGCACACATGCCTGCCTCCTGCAGCAGGGATGTAGCCAAAGATACTAGACCAGAGATGTGTCACAGGTGGTTCATTTTAATCAGGCCACCTCTCTTCTCTCTTTAATAAATGGTAGAGACTTCTCTTTGATCACAAAAACCTTTTATTTTGGGACTTTTTTTTTTTTTGTTAAGCTCAGTCAACTTCAAGCAAGCAAGGTGATACATATTTAACACAGAAAGGCAGGGAACAGTGGTGAACAGTTTTGTGACTGTAAGTCTTGTCAGGCTTACCCCCATTTGTTCTTCACATTATTTTCCACACTTATTTACCACTTACACTAATCCAGGAGCTGCGAAACAAGAAAAGGTGAGGAACTGCCCACACGCAAAAATAATCTCAGATTTAATCTCACTTTCATCCAATTTGAGTCATCTATTTTTTTAAGGAACTTCTGTTTAACATTTTCATCTTTTCCCCATTACATTTTGTTGTGGACTGTTACTCCCACACTGGTTCATGTCTCCTTTAAAAAGATGCTGTTGGTATTTGAAACTGAATTGAGACAGGAATACAGGTGAGAAAGGCAAATATTGGAAATGAGGATAACCTCAGTGACTGAGCAGCACTGCGGGATACATACATGTCTCTTGTGGTTGCCTCGCAAAAAGGAGCTGGGAATTCCATTTTTACACTCAGAATCACTCTGTTCTTCATAGCTTTCAAACTCACTTGAACTCCACCCATATTCCAGTGAGCTGTTTCCACCATCATCACCATTTTCAACATCATCATAAATCATTTCCTCTGCAAGTATTAAAAAAAACCAAAAAACAAACCCCATTGAAATTTCTGTTTGTTTAAACATAAAAAACTTGTTCAGGACGTACTACAAAGAGCTTTAGTGACTTCCGTATACACATTTTAAAATGTAAACTAAATACAATATTCAAACAGGCAAAGTAGGTTGTCTTTGTTGAAAGAGAGTATTGAAAGATGATAGGGTTATGCGTACACACCATGATCCTTTAAAAAACATGCCCCACTCAAACTACATTATGTCCAAGTCCCACAACATGTTTTAGAATAAATTCAAAAGAAGTTCAAACTGTAGCTATGAACACATATCTGAGCTGAGAGGCAGCATCCTTCCATTTGAAGGAATGTCATCTTATGGACATCAGCAGCTCAAATGACAAATGCTGAAACATTGCAAAAATCAAACCAAAATGTCACTACTTCAACAAGAACAGACCAAACTAATAAGAAAAGTGTTACACTGCTATTTTATGAGTTTTCATTCCTTTAACTCCACCAGCCACTAGGAGTCTCCCATATCTGCAGGTTACCTTGCCCATAATCCAGTCTAATATTGAAGATTTAAAAAGAGAAAAAATACATACTCAAAAGAAAAGTTGACTTCTTTTACACATCCATCTAAAACCTCAATTCTGTGGCTTAAAAACTACATTTTTACCAATAGTAATATTTTAATATTGTCTTTATAATTATCACAGACAAATATCCTCTTAGTTGGAAGAATCAGATCTTCAGAAATTTTTTAAACCTCCATGTATATCATACTGCCCTTAAAGGATACTTACTGAAGGAAATATTTTAGTGGCAATCTAGCACAACAAATAGTCATGCACCATAGTAAATAAGTCCTGACTGAGCAGCAAGAGTGCAAAGATGTCCCTGCCCAGAGCAGTGCAGCCCACTGAGGGACCTTCCAGTAATAAGGCACAAATTTAGCACAATGTCTTCAAATAATACATGAAACAAATTTCAGTTATAATTTGTTAACCACCTTGCCTGAACACCACTAAGGACAAGAAATGAAAATGTTACAGCTTTAAAAATAATAGTTTTAATGCAAGAAAGCTTAAGTGTTTTCTTGAACCATTACAATTTTAGCATCATACACCTACATCCTCTGAGAGCGAGTAGATACTGAGTTTACTGAGTTCCTAATAAGCCGATCCACTCAAACACATCAGTTAGTAGCAACCAATCTTTAAGCATAGTTTTCTCTATAACCAAAAACTGAAAAACAAATCTGAGTAAGAACTCAATGAAATAAACTTTCTGAGCCCCAGCTCCACCATTCCCAATAAAGGTAAAATCTTGGCTCCAGCAACTACTTTTAAGAACTGTTCTGTCCCTTCCAAAATTGGTCACACTATCAGGGGCCAGACCACTTCAAAGCTGAAATAAAACATTTCTATAAAGTCACATTCAGGATGGTAAACAGCTGTGCTTCCATCTATCAGGTATTTTTATGGTGAAGGGGAAAACTCAATTGAAGAGCAGTTCTCTCTACAACCACAACAATGATGCATTATCACGTATTATTTAGCTATTTAAAACATCCTTTTCCTACCTACCTTGCTGCCTTTAGGTCACTACAGCTACAACACCCAACACTGTAATTCTCTAATATATAGAATACTAAGGCATTTGAGACAGTATCTACAGAATAAAGTGCAATTAAGCTTCTGAGAAGAGTGGTGTACAAGACCTGCTGAGATAAAGGCTTTCAAGAGTTAGTTTAATTCTTAACTTAGTAAGACCTACCGATTATTGACAGAGTGTTAATTCCATTTACATATATTTTCGGTACTTCACAAACATCTATTGAGTATATACACACGTCATTCTTTATTACATTGCTTTCAACATAGGCTATATTACAAAGACCTCAAACCTGGTTCAGAGTCTGAATTTTCTCTTGGCACATCATCGTAAATTACTTCATCTGGGTCTAAAGGTAAAATAGGAAAAAAAAAAAAAAAAAAAAAAACAAACAACAAATTAGAAACCCCCTGGAATTTTAATGGGACCAACAAATAGTGTTTGAGAGGCATTAGGACAATGCCCTTAATAACATGCCTCAGCTTTTGGTCAGCCCTAAAGAGGTCAGTCAGTTGGACTAGATGATCGTTGCATATCCCTTCCAACTGAAATATTCTATTCTAAACAATGGTGATTATATTGGCATATGATAATACAATGGAGATATGACTCATTTCCCATTAGCATTTGCTAGTACATCTAATCATCAATTCAAATAATACAGTAACACAAAAAACAGTATAAGGAATTTGTGAAATTTCACATAATTTTATCTGCATTGTTTATTATGACCTTTGGTAGCCTGAAAACAGAAATCCACTTCAACAACAAACATTTCTTTCTCCTTTGACAGCACTACGTTATTTTCTGTGCTTGTCAAGGGCTGCTCATTACCTTTCTAAATAGCTGTAGAGAAGCTGTAATATACTTTTTTTTTGAAGAACCAAAACTAAATAATGTAACGATTGCTGTAGCACATAAAGAGGTAGAATAAGGATGCAAATTCTTCAGTCACTTCAAGTGACATGTAAGATAAACCTCCAGTCCAGCGGAAAGAGCAGAGAACAGGCAGGAAAACCAGTCCTCCAACCACATGGTCTCTGTTTTGGCTTAAAAAGCAGCTGCCAGCCAAGGGCACACATCAAGAAGAAGTGTCAATTCCTTCCTTTCTACCTTCTCCAAGAATTTATTTACCAGTTACTGCATAAGAACAATTTCATACACAGTCACAAAGCAGAATCCAAACTGGAGCAAATTTCCACTGTACACGTATTGATGGTGCCAAAAACACTTCATGGAAAAGTAAATGTTATCTTTATTCTAAAATACACACTTCTATTACCATCGAATGTTTTAACTGGTATAACTTGGCTCTGGAACATGTATGTGTGCATACAGATACATAAGCATATTAGCTGATCACAACTTAAAACTGACATTCTCTTATAGTAGTACTTTGGTGCTCACTGATACTTACTTTCCATCCATGCTGTATTTGCAGGATCTGCAACCCACTTGGCCAGTGCATCATCCCCTCTCTTCGCCTGGTTATCTTCACTTGAAAAAAAGGCCATAAAATAAAAACATTAAAAGCTACACCACAATGTTTTCAAACAACTGTGAAGACAAGACAAATACCTTTCTGCCTTCCAGTTCCCACTCCAGGGCTGCTGATTACTCAAAAACACTGCTGCAGCATGTAATTAGAATATTATTAATCTATTCTATTTAACAGTCTGACAACTTTAGCGAAGGAATTGAAAACACTTCCCTTCCCATCTCAAGAAATATTTTGCTTCCGAGTTCCTCTACCAGAACACAGAAAACTCTCTCTTAGAAAGCACTGAAGTGAGAGCTGTTCTTTCACTTCAAATACAACTAAAGACTTTCTTGGCTACATCAGGAGCAAAGAGGCTTAACAAGACCGTTCTCTCTCTCTGGTTGGTGCTGGTGAAGCTGAACCTTCAGCAGCACATCCAGTTTTGGCTTCCCAACACTCCCCTTCTAGAGAGCTTTGGAGAAATTGAAGCTACCTCTTGAGAAACTATGGAGAAATTGGAGTTGAGGACTAAAGCATATGGCCTACAAGGAAAGAAGTGGAAGACATGAGGCTTATTTAATCTGGTGAAAAGGATGCTATGGGGTGACCCAACAGCACCTACAACTATCTGAAAGACAGCTACAGAGGTGATGGAGTTTGGGTTTGGGTTTTTTGGTTTGGACTAGGTTTTGAGTTTTGGGCTGGGTTTGTTGCGTGTTTTCTTTCAGTGCCAGATGATACACAAGGGGGAATGATCAACAAATTGCACATTGCAAGACTTGGTTTGGACATTAGGGAAAAGTACACCAAAGGGCAGTACAGCAGGGAAGACTGCCCAGGAAAGCTGCAACATCTATATCCTTGGATGTTTTCAAGGCTCAGCTACCAAGACCATGGCTGATCCAGTGAAGTGTTGGCAGTGGTCCTTCTGAAAGCAGCAGGCCACACTAAAAGATTTCCAGCAGTCTGTTGCAGCTGACATTGCTATGACTAAAAATTAAATCTAGTTCCCTCAAAAATGTCACGCGCAGTTATACATATGAAACCTCAGCCAGTGCTGATTTTGGTATGCGACCAGAGTTACAGAGTTAGGAAAAAAAAATAAACAAACATGGAAGTGTCACATAGTAAAAATAGGATATTTATCAAATATAAGCTCTCTTAGGAGTAGAAGTTCTACAGATAGTTAAATCATGCTGAATTGGCAATCACCTGTTTTGAGGCTCCTCTGAGTTTACAGAATTATAATGACATTCTTCAGTTGCTGACTGCGTACCTACTAAGTAGAAAAAAATATATCATCACCAAAACGCCAGCATGGTTCAGAGAGTACGTTTTAGCATAAGAAACTGATTCTACTAGTTCACTGATAATGAATAATCTACTTCTATACAAGATTTAGAAAATTCTTCACATAATCCATTCTTGCAAATGAAAGAATTCAGAGATGTAGCAATTCGGTATAACAGCTGTTAGGAGGGAATTACCATGTCTGATGCATTTAATTCTAACCTCTCAAACATATATTCCTCTATGGGTAATAACAACCACACAAACATTTGCTTTTATTTGCCAATAATCTTGGTGGTGGTAGACAGCAAAGGTTATATTCAAAATAC